CAACTCTCTTGCTCTCTCTCTCTTTTGTCTTCTTTCTCTCTTTTTTGTTTTTTCTCACACCTCTCTTTATTTCCCTCTCTCTCTCTCGCGTTCTCTTTCACTCTCTTGCTTTCCCCTCGTATTCGCTCTCTTTCCCTTTCACTTTCGATTTCTCTCGTTTTCTGTGTGTGTGAGTGTACGTGTGTGTGTGTGTGTGTGTGTGTGTGTGTGTGTGTGTGTGTGTGTGTGTGTGTGTGTGTGTGTGTGTGTGATGTGTGTGTGTGTGTGTGTGGGTGTGTGTGTGTGTGTGGGTGTGTTGTGTGTTGTGTCCATACGGTGTATTGTTTCACGTGGTGTTGTGCGTGTGTGTGTGTGTGTTTCTCTCATCCTTTAGCTTCGATGAGGTTTATATTTCCTGTTGGCAGCAGCAGCAGCTTGGCAACAAGTACAACAAACACAACAACAGCAACAACAACAACAAGTACAACAAACACATTAGTTAATTTACAAGATGGTGACAATAAACTTGACGCTTTTATGAGGGATCATTACTTGACCTCTACCTGACTATGACTTGTAATTTTCCATCCATATCTGATTTATTTTTTCTGCTCTAGCTTGATGAAGGTTAGGTTGGGTTGGGTTGGGTTGGGTTGGGTTGGGTTGGGTTGGGTTATTATAAGGTCAGTAATGTAGCTACAAGATACTAATCACCTGAACAGTAAAAAAAAAAAAAATGTATTGCATATTTTTTTTAGTTTCCTTATAATATAAATATGTTCTTTCTGTGTATTGAATTATTCCTTTTACCGTACAATCCTTTCATGTTTTATATCACTCCAGGGTCGACAACGTTTAATTTCATTCATCCATCCCAATCTCTACCCTTCCCTAATCCTTTTATTTTCATTTCCGTCCATTACCACTTCTCTTCTCCCCTAGTATCTTATTCCCCTACTACATATATCCAGTATATATCTCTTGTCGTCATACAAGGCCATAAAAAACTATTTCATTACACAACCTCGCTGTAATTAAGCGTAAGATGATCAGAGGTTGTGTGACATTGGATGGGGAGCGGGTGGGGAGGGGGCGGGGGCGGGTGGGGAGGGGCTGGAGGTTCCAATTATCCTCACTGCGGGGCCCCTTTATTCAGACGCCAGCCAACTGAATCATTACTTTGATATTCAATCTCTATTACCGCCACGTATCAGCCGGATGTTACCTTTTGTTCACCTGTTTTGACGCTTTGCTATTAGTCGAATGTAACTTTCATTATCAGTTATGTTGTATTTGTTGTAAAAGGGTTATTCAGGCATGATATGTTATAATACGTAAAGCGAAACATGAACGTGGTGTAAGATTTAATTTCTAGTAGTGATATACATGGGCCACCGACCAAGCACACAGTCATCATAACTAAGCCACTAAGGTTAAAAATATTTGGACTGGGCCACTTACTAAGCATAATAAGTCCAGGCGGGGCCACCAACCAAGCAGGATGTATATATATGACAGTTCCACCATTTTGTGCCATTAATTAACAGCGCCTCACTAACGAAGCTTGGGCTGAAATTATACATCTGAGCCAGCAGGCAGATATAGGAGTCATAGTTCAGCTTTTGTTAAGGTGAATATTTTATAATTCACAGCTATCATGCTTTCTGCTAACTCAATATTAATTATGAAGTCATATAATTATCTATATAATAAAGAAGAAAACAAACTACTTTTTCTTAATTATGGTATTATTTTTTGTCTTCATTACCAACAAGGGAGGACATTAAGCGCTTACAATAAACATTACTTCAAAACTCATCCCTCCCTCACTCAACAATTCCACCAACCAGATCAGGAGAGGCTCACACTGAGTTGAGAAGGATCCCAGAATCCTCAAGTCCTAGATTTCCTTATTCTCTATAACTTGTTGTTGCAGTAGACAATGAAAGAGTTAAAGAGGGTTCCATAAATACATCACTGAGTTTCTAAGCTTTTGGTACACAAGGAGGTAGCATGATCGTCACTGCACTCGACCGCCTTCACTTTCCAAAATTGTAAAGTTAGGTAATCATCTACAGCTGGGTGGGTGGATGGGAAGTACAAAGGGATCGAACCACCATCATTTAGGACAAAAAGCGAGCACTGAACAAATCATCTGTTAACCTAACCTAACCTAATTTGACACAAGCAGCGGGAGATTACAACAAGCGGGTAAACAAAAACTGCTTTCCTGGGAGAGGACTCAGAGTGAGGTTAAGTTAGAATTTATTGGGTTAAGGTGATGGTTAAGGGTAAGTAATTTAGTTCATTTAAGTTTGTATTATGTTAGGTCAGGTTATGTGAGGAGTAAGTTAGGTTAAGTTAAGTTAGGTTAAGGATATATCAAGTCAGGTAAAGCATAAACAACACCAAAAGTCAGCAGCGCCTCTTAACTCCTCGTCATTATCTCCTCATTAACTTATTATCCTTTAATGGGATAAATTAACACCACAAAGAAAAGTTACAGTTTATGTCAGCGACGTTAACAAAATGTAAATGGATCTTGAACACACCTGACGTATACACAGACACCCGTTGTTAATTAACCTGGGAGCAGGGGACCAGAGAGTGTATATACGTATATGTATAAGGTTAACTACGAGATGAAGGTTAATCAAGTCGTGTTTGTAGTTAAAAAAAAAAATAACTAAATATCAAATTAATACTGAGATTGAATGATGTAACCACCACGGGTGTGTTGAGAGGAAGGCTATAATCATTTCGTTTGTGTTAGTATATATCTGAAGGTTTAATCTATCTCACCTGAAGGGTATAACACCACTGATACTTTGACCAGGTAAAACTATAATACTCACTGTAATTAAGAGGGTGTCAAGGCTCTGTAAATCGTATATCCTTAATTATTCTACGTCAGTGGTTATTAAACTTGATTACGTTAAAGTGTTACATGTTAATTATGATCTGAATTAGAAGCTTTTGTTTTCAGTGTAATATGCTTATAAGGATGAGTAAACGCTAACCTGAGGGAGTAATACAGTACATAATAATGGTTTAGTGACTGGCAAACACCTGTCATCTTCACCTGTTTGAGCTCTAGCAGGTGTTATACAGGTAAGTTAAAGCAGCAGTCACCTCCACCGTAGACTTTGTGTTGCGTCTGATATTGTCTTTACCTTATTTTATGAGAGAGAGAGAGAGAGACTAAAAATCAAATGAGAGCATAAAACATTTCTTGTAACCTAACAAAAACACAAAACCTGGTGTTATCCTACCGTGTTTAATGTATAGCTCCTGTAACCTGTATGCATATGTATTATGAAATATGTTGGTTGTGTTGAAAGTCAGAAATGAACGGAGTAATTTGGCTTTAAGTGTAATAAATTTCCCTCTTCGTATGCCATTTGAAGATGAATTGTGTCATATATTTTTAAAAGTTACACAGTTTATAAAGTTAAAAATTCCACACACTGTATGCTTGGAAAATATACTTTGAACACATACTCATTGTATAATTAACTTGTTCACTTGCAACACAAAGTATCTGCAAGGCGGGGTCCGATGGATGTCAAAATGAACACTGTGACTCCTGTTGCCTCGGTAGGAGTGTTAAAACCCTTCGTCTGTTGTGTCATATCGTCTAACAAAAAAAAAAACTAGATACTTTTTGTAGTGAGTTGTACATTGAACACATATGAATAAATTACTTGGGGACTTAAAATTCTGATTTTCTTCACAGATTACATGAACTGGTTATAAATTATGCACATCCAGCCATTACTGTTTATAAGAATACAAATAATATATGATTACAATAGATTTTTTGATGGTGAGAATATTGTGCGAAAGAATTAAAAAAAAAATCACTTTTTATTTAGCAACGAGAACTAAAATAATCGCTGCTGTTGACCTGACACATACTGTATTATTGATGGTGATGGATACACAAAATATATAGGAATCCTTGCTGATACATAGTGACAGACTTTAACGGACACATAGGGAAGGAAGTCTCCGTCATAAACACACATTCCTATGACATGATACATATATTACTGTTAGTATAGTGGAGGACTGTGGTCGCCAACCCTCAGATGTGATTGATTGATTGATTGATTGATTGATTGATATACAGTCTTGCTGACACATCGGTATGGAATTCTGGCTAACAAAGGGAGAGGGAATCTTGCTCGTAATAAATAATGTTGTCAGATAACACACACACACACACACACACACACACACACACACACACACACTTTTACAAAATATATATTCATGATGGGAAGCTTCAGCAGTCATGAGAGCTTGTTGATGACATTAACACACGTACAATACAATATTCACTACATTTTTATAATCTTTAATACACTTTTTTACTCTTCCTCCTCTTAGTAGTGTCGGAAGAGACATGTAAAGACCATTGCATTTCCTGTAACGCTATGCTCATGTTATTATGGAAACAGTAAAATGGAGATGCTTAAGTTATTTACGCTGGAGTGAATTCATTTGTAAGTAGAGTTGTTTTTATTTTCATTCGTTTATACAGCTGTGAGATTGATGGTAAATACCTTGTGATTTAATTGTTTCTTTTTGTATCTACTTATTAAAATGTGTGTGTGTGTGTGTGTGTGTGTGTGTGTGTGTGTGTGTGTGTGTGTGTGTGTGTGTGTGTGATATTAAACACACATCTCACGCCTCCATAGCAAACTAAACACAATAAAACATGGTCTTTCATGCTTCAGCCATACCAGGTCAAGCTCATGGTCCCTTATGAGTCATGGTCCTTTATGAGTCATGGTCCTTTATGAGTCATGGTCCTTTATGAGTCATGGTCCCTTATGAGTCATGATCCTTTATGAGTCATGGTCCTTTATGAGTCATAATCGTTTATGAGTTATGGTCCTTTATGAGCCATGGTCTTCTATGAATCATTTCCAGTCATGGTTCTGTATGACTCATGGTCCATTAAAACTCATGGTCCTTTATAACACATAGTAAGATAATGAATAAGACTTCTACAGGTATGATAATGAATAAGATTTCTACAGGTATGATAATGAATAAGGCTTCTACAGGTATGATAATGAAGAAGACTTCAACAGGTATGATAATGAATAAGATTTCTACAGGTATGATAATGAAGAAGAGTTCAACAGGTATGATAATGAATAAGATTTCTACAGGTATGATAATGAAGAAGACTTTTACAGGTATGATAATGAATAAGACTTCTACAGGTATGATAATGAAGAAGACTTCAACAGGTATGATAATGAATAAGGCTTCTATAGGTATGATAATGAATAAGACTTCTACAGATATGATAATGAATAAGACTTCTACAGGTATGATAATGAATAAGACTTCAACAGGTATGATAATGAATAAGGCTTCTACAGGTATGATAATGAATAAGACTTCAACAGGTATGATAATGAATAAGGCTTCTACAGGTATGATAATGAATAAGACTTCTACAGGTATGATAATGAAGAAGGCTTCTACAGGTATGATAATGAATAAGGCTTCTATAGGTATGATAATGAATAAGACTTCTACAGATATGATAATGAATAAGACTTCTACAGGTATGATAATGAATAAGACTTCAACAGGTATGATAATGAATAAGGCTTCTACAGGTATGATAATGAATAAGACTTCAACAGGTATGATAATGAATAAGGCTTCTACAGGTATGATAATGAATAAGGCTTCTACAGGTATGATAATGAAGAAGACTTCAACAGGTATGATAATGAATAAGACTTCTACAGGTATGATAATGAATAAGACTTCTACAGGTATGATAATGAATAAGACTTCTACAGGTATGATAATGAAGAAGACTTTTACAGGTATGATAATGAATAAGGCTTCTACAGGTATGATAATGAAGAAGGCTTCTACAGGTATGATAATTAAATAAGACTTCTACAGGTATGATAATGAAGAAGACTTTTACAGGTATGATAATGAATAAGGCTTCTACAGGTATGATAATGAATAAGGCTTCTACAGGTATGATAATGAATAAGACTTCTACAGGTATGATAATGAATAAGGCTTCTACAGGTATGATAATGAATAAGACTTCTACAGGTATGATAATGAATAAGACTTCTACAGGTATGATAATGAATAAGACTTCTACAGGTATGATAATGAAGAAGGCTTCTACAGGTATGATAATGAATAAGACTTCTACAGGTATGATAATGAGGAAGACTTCTACAGGTATGATAATGATTAAGGCTTCTACAGGTATGATAATGAATAAGACTTCTACAAGTATGATAATGAATAAGGCTTCTACAGGTATGATAATGAATAAGACTTCAACAGGTATGATAATGAATAAGGCTTCTACAGGTATGATAATGAATGAGACTTCTACAGGTATGATAATGAATAAGACTTCTACAGGTATGATAATGAAGAAGACTTTTACAGGTATGATAATGAATAAGGCTTCTACAGGTATGATAATGAATAAGGCTTCTACAGGTATGATAATGAATAGGACTTCTACAGGTATGATAATGAATAAGACTTACAGGTATATAATGAAAGACTTTTACAGGTATGATAATGAATAAGGCTTCTACAGGTATGATAATGAGGAAGACTTCTACAGGTATGATAATGAATAAGGCTTTTACTATGATAATGAATAAGGCTACAGGGTAATGAATAAGACTGAAGTGATAACGAGGAAGACTTTTACAAGTATGATAATGAATAAGGCTTTACAGGTATGATAATGAATAAGGCTTCTACAGGTATGATAATGAATAGGACTTCTACAGGTATGATAATGAATAAGACTTCTACAGGTATGATAATGAAGAAGACTTTTACAGGTATGATAATGAATAAGGCTTCTACAGGTATGATAATGAGGAAGACTTCTACAGGTATGATAATGAATAAGGCTTTTACAGGTATGATAATGAATAAGACTTCAACAGGTATGATAATGAATAGGACTTCTACAGGTATGATAATGAATAAGGCTTCTACAGGTATGATAATGAATAAGGCTTCTACAGGTATGATAATGAATAAGGCTTCTACAGGTATGATAATGAGGAAGACTTCTACAGGTATGATAATGAATAAGGCTTTTACAGGTATGATAATGAATAAGACTTCAACAGGTATGATAATGAATAGGACTTCTAAAGGTATGATAATGAATAAGATTTCAACAGGTATGATAATGAATAAGGCTTCTACAGGTATGATAATGAATGAGACTTCTACAGGTATGATAATGAATAAGACTTCTACAGGTATGATAATGAAGAAGACTTTTACAGGTATGATAATGAATAAGGCTTCTACAGGTATGATAATGAATAAGACTTCTACAGGTATGATAATGAGGAAGACTTCTACAGGTATGATAATGAATAAGGCTTCTACAGGTATGATAATGAATAAAACTTCAACAGGTATGATAATGAATAGGACTTCTACAGGTATGATAATGAATAAGACTTCTACAGGTATGATAATGAATAAGACTTCTACAGGTATGATAATGAAGAAGGCTTCTACAGGTATGATAATGAATAAGACTTCTACAGGTATGGTAATGAATAAGGACTTCTACAGGTATGATAATGAGGAAGACTTCTACAGGTATGATAATGAATAAGGCTTCTACAGGTATGATAATGAATAAGGCTTCTACAGGTATGATAATGAATAAGACTTCTACAGGTATGCTAATGAATTAACCTGCTACAAATATGACAATGAATAAGGCTTCTACAGGTATGATAATGAATGAGACTTCTTCAGGTAGGATAATGAATGAGACTTCTACAGGTAGGATAACTAGTCTTAGCCATAAGTGTCAAGTGAGCATCGAAATAAATACTCCCGATGTGTTGGTATTTTTTCCAGGTTATGAAAAGGATTATATAATTTGAGCTAATTCCGGGTTTTGTAAAATTTGCTGTTTTTTATTTAGTTCCGTATTTTTCAAAGTGTGATATATCGTTCAGTGAATTATTTTTTGGATGATTATGTAGCGTTAATATTTTGTATTTTATTTTAGCAAAAGAACGTACTTGTTAATACTTAATTAAGAAATACTCCTAATATTGATTTGATTATACGGTATGCTTTCACAATTTATTCATTACTTTATAGTATCAGCGTGAAATAACAAACCAATTTTTCATCACCAATTTAAGCAGATATTCCTGATTTAGTTAATAATGTTTAACTGTTTGCCTCACACCATCATTAATGCGATTATTCTCTTATATGGATTATTCTGCAGAGATAGAGCAACAAATATTCCCCGTAAAACTCTTGGTCAACAAATGGATTATCACCAGCACAGCGCTTAATTACTTACGCTGGAATAATATAGTCTGCGAGACTCCATGTTTCACTCACTCACTCACTCACACACTCACTCACACACACACGCACACACACACACAAACACACACACACACGCGCGCGCGCACATACACACACTGTGGGTATGTACATTATGTATGTGGTATAATGGTCAGTATGCTAGCCTCACAAGTGAGTGGACCCGAGTTTTATCCCCGGGTGGGATGAAACTTTGGGCAAGTTTCTTTAATCCATTTGCCTCTGTATACCCAGCAGTAATTAAGGACATGGCTTTTAATCGATTTGCGTATCGTGTTCCGGGGTAGTGGTTAGCCAGTGCAGTTGGCGAGTTGTCCGGTCTTCTCGAAATATTCCTTGACAATGGGTCATGCAACTCGTTAACTCAGAGTGTGGTTGTTGTGCTGGCGACAGCTTCTACACCTTAAATAAGTTCACGCCTTGGTGGCCCTATGACCAGCCATTCTCGAACAAGAGGGGCAACCATTAATGTATGTATGTATATTTAGTAGTACGGTAGTGTATATAAACAATACCAACTACAGTTAAGTAAATCTAAAGGTATATACATTACAGGTAGTTCTAAATATATCGTTCATATTGTCTCTAGTTATCGAGAATTTCTTTAATCAAGTTGAATGTCACTAAGTTATGTCTGTTGTGTAAAAAACAGTGACGTAAGTCGTGAATATCTTAAAGGCTTGAAGATAACTTTTAGAGAATTAAGTCTCTTATTGTGTTATTTTCATCATTTTGTATTGTCTATACTTCTGTCTATATTTTTCTCTCGTTTTATCAATATTTTTTGTACTCTTTCTCTTTATCTCTCACAGCAACAAGAGACAGCACCACGACCACTACATTACATTATACAATACAACAATAATGATGGGGAGGAGAGAGAGAGAGAGGAAATTGGTGGGGTCGGAGATATATCGCTGCTTCAGGTTGTGGCTTCATTGTCTCTCCTATAATTTGGATAAAGTAGATCATTTAGTCTAACTCTAAGGCGAGGAAGGGCGAGTAGGTGTGGTGGTTCACTCTTTGGGGGAGGGGGAGGTTTAAGGGGTTCCACGTAAGGGATCAAAGGTTTTAGGGGTTTAGCTAGCAAGGGTCAGAAGTTGTAGGGGGTTTCGCTAGTAAGGGGACAGAGATGTAGGGGGGGGGGGTTACTAGCAGGGGGTGAGGGGTTCAAAGAGGTTGCCAGTAAGGGTTCATAACTCTCTAGGTTTACCAACTGAGGTTCAAGACATAGAAAGACATCAGATCAACAGTAAACAAACAACTTACCTCCTCACCACTTAAAGTAGAGCTGCTGTGGAGGAGGAGGAGAAGAAGAAAGAAGAAGAAAGAAGAAGAAAGAAGAAGACAGAAGAAAAAAGAAGAAAGACGAAGAAAGAAGAAAGAAGAAGAAAGAGAAGAAGCAGTTAAGTTCATATACCAACACAGGTAGTCAAGCTGTCACGTATACAACACCAGAAACTTAAAACAATAATCTTCACTGGGAAATTCGTATCGACTAATATTTAAACATTAAGAGTGTTGTATATGCTTCACTCTACCGCTCTCAATGCTCATGGCAACTATTTCACACACGCAACTCACTGCTGTACACTACATGAACACGTGATACACATTAATGGTTTGTCCTAGAACACTACCCAGTTCCTTACAGATACGAACACTAAGTTATTTCCTTTGGGTTTCCTTGTGGTGTGGCTTAAGAGATCATATGTCGGGTTATTGGTGGTCGTGGGTCAATAACTACATCGTAACTTGAATAAGATATATGAATGTGGAAGCATTTTTTTTTTTTTTACAATACACTCCTTGGTGAATGTAAATCTAACCTCTCACAAAGGGTAACAAAGTCTTGAATATATTTTCTGTACCTACGTGACTCCTTGACATTAGAGCCGAGAATAGAAACACTAATGGAAGAGGTTTTCTTTTTCTCAAGGAATCAATATCAAAATGGACGATAAATCCTGATAATTATTTGTGCCATTAATTAGAATCATTAACAATATGTCACACGACCAGGATACTTTACTATTATGACACTTAATAACAAGATATAATTTAAGACGATATTTCAATTATGAATAAAATAAATAAAATTATAATCCACCTGAAGCCTTACCATGATAGAATTTATTATTGCTTTAGTTGAGATAATTTTAGATATACACAAACCACCGATCCTACCTAGATTAAAATTCCGATTATGTAAAGACCAGAATAACATAACACTTTTTTGTTAAGCCAACTTCAAGGGTATTAAAAACTCCGCTTAACTTGACCTGTTGTGGAGTTATTTACTGTGTTAATTATATCCTCGAGGATTTAATAGTTTTTACTTGATGAGGTCATGAGTATTTTTGTCTTGTCCAGGAAGTTCAACATAGGTATAGAGATATTTTCCTTCCTTCCATTCTTCCTTCCCTCCCTTCCTTATTCCTTCCCTTCCTCATTCCTTCCTTCTTTTCCAACCTTATTCCCTCTCTCCCTCCCCTCTTTATTAGTCCCCTCTTCTCTCCCTCTTCTCCTTCCTTCCCTCCCTATTTCCTTTCATTATTTTTGTCTCTTCACGAAGGCTACAGCGTGTGCGAGGGCATCTTGGCCTAGCAAGACAACCACAACAACAAGAACAACACCACAACAACAAGAACACTACCACAGCAACAAGAACACTACCAAAGCAACAAGAACAACACCACAAGAACAAGAACACTACCACAGCAACAAGAACACTACCACAGTAACAAGAACACCACCACAGCAACAAGAACAACACCACAACAACAAGAACACTACCACAGCAACAAGAAAAACACTACCACAACAACAAGAACAACACCACAGTAACAAGAACAATACCACAGCAATAAGAACACTACTACAGCAACAAGAACACACCACAGCAACAAGAACACCACCACAGCAACAAGAACACTACTACAGCAACAAGAACACTACCACAGCAACAAGAACACCACCACAGCAACAAGAACACTACAGCAACAAGAACACTACTACAGCAACAAGAACACTACCACAGCAACAAGAACACTACCACAGCAACAAGAACACTACAACAACAAAGAACACTACAGCAACAAGAACACTACCACAGCAACAAGAACACTACTACAGCAACAAGAACTACCACAGCAACAAGAACCACCACAGCAACAAGAACACCACCACAGCAACAAGAACACCACCACAGCAACAAGAACACTACCACAGCAACAAGAACACTACCACAGCAACAAGAACACTACCACAGCAACAAGAACACTACTACAGCAACAAGAACACACCACAGCAACAAGAACACTACCACAGCAACAAGAAACACTACTACAGCAACAAGAACACTACTACAGCAACAAGAACACCTACAGCAACAAGAACACCACCACAGCAACAAGAAGAACACTACCACAGCAACAAGAATACTACAGCAACAAGAACACCACCACAGCAACAAGAAACACCACCACAGCAACAAGAACACTACTACAGCAACAAGAACACTACCACAGCAACAAGAACAACACCCAACAAGAACACCACCACAGCAACAAGAATACTACCACAGCAACAGAACACTACCACAGCAACAAAATACTACCACAGCAACAAGAACACTACTCAACAGCAAAGAACACTACCACAGCAACAAGAATACTACCACAGCAACAAAACACCACCACCACAGCAACAAGAACACTACTACAGCAACAAGAACACCTACAGCAACAAGAACACTACCACAGCAACAAGAACACTACTGCAGCAACAAGAACAACACCAGCAACAAGAACACACCACAGCAACGAACACTACTACAGCAACAAGAACACTACTACAGCAACAAGAACACTACCACAGCAACAAGAACACTACAGCAACAAGAACAACACCACGCAACAAGAACACTACCACAGCAACAAGAACACTACCACAGCAACAAGAACAACACCACAGCAACAAGAACACCTCAACAACAGAACACCTCAGCAACAAGAACACTACTACAGCAACAAGAACACTATACAGCAACAAGAACACTACCACAGCAACAAAGAACACTACCACAGCAACAAGAACACTACCACAGCAACAAGAACACTACCACAGCAACAAGAACACTACTACAGCAACAGAACACTACTCAACAAAAGAACTCTGCAACAACAAGAACACTACCACAGCAACAAGAACACACTACAGCAAAAGGAAACACTACCACAGCAACA